TGCCAGACTGGCTGAATGGAAAAGAAAAAAAAATAGAGAAAAGAATAGGGAACACAGAAAAGAGCAGGTGTGCGTGGAACCGACCCCAAGGCAGCCGGCGCTGGGCTCCTCCTTCATTTCGGTGTCCGGTGGGCAGCAGAGAAACGGCCCCCTCTTTCTCAAGGAGGGTCTCGGGGTCAAGTGTAGGTCTCGGTCCCTCACTCAACAGCTTCCCTGAGCTTCTGAAAGCCCCGGAAAGCAGAGCCCTCCCCAGGAGCCAAGGAGCTGCCTGCCATTCCAATGAGCCAGGCCTGCGAGAGGCAAGCCGGGTCCTAACAGGGTGCCCGGGAATAAAGGAGGCAGGATGTGAGGCCCGAGGACATCCACCCACCGAGGGACGCCCGTCTTCACAAGAGCAGGTTACGGTCTTAGTTGTTGTGGCAGGGGACGGGAAGAAAGGCGGCGTGTCTTCCTTTTCTAACTCCCTAGTCCTGCGCTGTCTGACCTCGGGCAAGGCAATTTAATAATCACCCGAATGCTTTTGACTTCATAGGCCCTTTCATCCGGGGATCTCAAAGCACTTCACAAATACCAATTCATTAACCTTCACAACCCACCCTGGGGGACAGGGGGTGGGTTTTCCCTGTGGTGGGAGCGCTCAGCTGGCGGCCCCCGGGAAACGCAAGTCTTCCTTCAAGGTCATTTGAAAGTTGACCGGGAGCCTCCAGAAGGAGATCCAGAGCAGCTGGCATCCAGATCGTTGCTGCTCGGGCCTCAGTTTACCCTCCTTTGTGCTATGGGGCTGGGCCCACACCTTCCACTTCCTCACCAAGAGCAAACACGTTGCAAGTCCAGGAAAACCACCACAGTGCATCTGGTTCGCTTCCCAGCCAAGAGCCTGTGAAGTGCTAGAGACCCTGTTGGGCAAGGTAGGAAAATGAGGTCAAGGGATCTTAAAGGATCTACCCAACCATCACCAAACTCACAAATAGCGGCGTTGACAACCCATTTGCCATTTAAAAAAAAAAAAGTCATGATAGTGCATGAAAATCCACAGCCATTCCCTCAATGTCGCCCCCTGAGAAGAAGCTGATCTCATTTGTGGACCTCTCTGGGTCTCTGATGAACTCGGGGGAGCCTGTGAGCTGTCGCAGGAAACAGTGAGGCTAGGATGGGCCGTTTATTCTCAGAGGAGTAGGGAGAGGGCTGAACTGGGTCCAGAAAGTAGCTCTGAAAAGGGAAGGCGAGGACCGCCTGGATTGGGTTTAGGGACAGGCTTCGGGAGAAGGGTTTAGGGAGAGGTTTTCAGGAGAGGGGTCACAAATAGCAAAATCTGGGTCCTCACCAGGACACCAAAGCTAAGTGCTGAAGTTTCTATCTTCCAGGTCCCTCCAGCAATGGCTGACCCTGCTTTCTTGGAACGTCCAGGCCATCTTGGGCCAAAGAGAGCCATTTGTTGGTCATTTTCAGCAAAACAGGCCGGGTCCTGTCTCCACGTGCAGTCCCAGCCCCAGCCCCAGCCCCAGCCCCAGCCCCAGCCCCAGCCCCAGCAGGGAAGCCAGCAGGAAACTTCCTTCCTAGGTGTCCCTGGAGGAAATGTGCTTTTAGGTCACCATGACGATCCCCAAACATGCAGCTGTATTTTGGAACACAACTGTGCACACTCCTCACCGACTTCGGGGGTTTCATGATGACAAATCCCAGTTTACAGTCCAGTCTATTTCTTTTCATTCTTCCTGAAAACACCGAACTCTGGTTGTGACGGAGACCCAAGGCTGAGATGCTCCGAAGCAACCTCTCGCTTGTCCTCCCACCCCCCCAGGGTCTTTCTCCACTGCATTCCATTCCCCCTCCTCTTCCATTTGTAAAGACAAAAAAAAGAAGAAAAAATCCTATAACCACTGGCCTCTGTCCAGGAACACGGAGGGAAACAAAGCCAGGCAAACACCAAGAGAAGTGAACGACATCCAGGGCCAACTCAAGTGAACTGCGGGACCGTCCTCCCGTGCAACCCAGAGGCTCAGGGCTCGGGCTTCACTTTTTCCCTCCTCTTCTTCAGGGTTCAGTTCAGGGTCCAGATACGCAGAGTAAAGTCGAGGGTTAGCAGAAGAGCTCTGAAAACCCCCACCTGGAAATTACTTGCCAATCAACACGCACCCTACATCTTTCAACAGCTCCTCCTCGCTTAGCTCAGTAATTCTGCTGCGGAGTCTCGGTGCAAAGTCCGTGACCTGGTTGGTGTCCTGAGAAGCAAAGCCTGAGATAAGGGTCTGGTGCGAATGGTTCGTTTGGAAGGTGATCCCCCAAAGCCATTTCCAGAGGAAGTGGGGGACGTGGGCAGCAAGGATGAGAGGAAAGCCTACGTGGTGGACAGCAAGAAACTGGGACACTTGTCCATCGGCTTGCGTCCCATGGGTGGAGAACTGCTTGGGGACAATGTCACTGGCACACCCAGGCTACCCTACATGTACGTAGGCCAAGCATGCCCTCATGGCCAGCCAACAAGCTCAGAAAGGTGACACCGGAAGCCAGCAGACTGTCCAGGGACTATCTGAAGGTGCCTCCGGGGAAAGCTGAGGGGAAATGGTGGGATCGATGACAGGATCTGCAACAGATGACAATCCCAGTACAGAAAAAGTGAGCAGAGCAGAACCGCAGCATGGCCCGTCACGGTGATTCCAAGGGCAGGTCCCAGGAGCACTGGGTGCATCTTCTGGGTGCCAGACTGTCCCCAACACTTACTGCTAGGCCCTGAGCTAGGTCCCAGGGTCACTGTGAGGACCAAGGTCATCTTCCTAGATTCTACCGTCACACACTGACATCAGGTTTGTAGGTTTGGTGTGACCTTAATTTTGTTTCTAAAATGCGTGGGAGAAAGACTAGAGGGAAATAGCTGAGACTGTTAACAGTGATGCTCCTTGGGTGAAGGGGGGTTTCTTCAGTTCTTACGATTCTATTGAAATTTCCTGTAATGAGACTGTATTCTTCTTATAAAAGAGAAAATTATAAACTTTATTTGAAAATAAGAGAAAAGAAAGGCACCTGCCAGGCGGAAGGGAACTCAAAGGTGGCCTTGCTCACCTTCCCCCATGACCAACTTTTATGTGTGTCTCATATTCCTGGCTCCCTGCTGCATTTGGAACCAGCATCTAATGCAAAGGGATTTGGGGCACTTCTCAGGCATGCCCGGGGCCTGGAAATGGGAAACATCTCCTGATTAGACTTGCAGTTCTTAGGGCACCACAAAAAAGTCACAGAATCCCTATCTCTCTTCTTTTTCATTTTAAATTAATTCATGGAAATAGAAAGCCCACAGTCACATCTGCATTCCGGCTTCTCTGTTGGTGAATGGGCTTGGATATCATCTTCAACACTTGGCCACTGACTTCGGTATCAACAAATTCCCTTCTTCTGTTAGATACTTGCCATCCCAACCAGAGGGGAGGGACCTCCCAGTTGGGAAATTTTCTTACTCTCTCTGGTTGTCTTTAGATGTGGGGGTGAAAGGGGCTACTAAATACCACGTGATCTTATTAAGTGCTTTGAAAATGTAAGATAAACTCTGCTTCATGGAGAAAAATAGGATTCTATTCGATGCAATGGTGTTTACTGTCATAGTTACAACTGGCAAAGTTCATCCTGAAATATTTTTTTCACATAGTTGAAAGAGTTAAAAATCTTGGAATCTCTCTCCCTGGGCTCCTCAAACCCCGAGACTCTAAATTATCTCTGATAGGTGGAAACATTTTCAGGCTCTCATTAATTCAATATTTGGTGATAGGTCCAGGTTGCAGTGCCACCCGGCTGCAGGGGCCCTGTTTGTGTCTGCTGCGGCTTTTGGAGATGCAGCTCTGGCCGTGTGCGGGTGGGGACCGCGTTGATCAACACCTCCTCAAGTGCTGATCATCACCGCTTCCTTGAAAAAAGCCACAGGCATTTTGCAAAAGAAAATATGTTTAAGGGAAAAATCTAGCTTAGAAGGAGCCAGTTTAGTCAAACCGATGGGTTTTCCCACTGCAAAGTTCTTCCTGGTCTTGAACGCACGGCATCCTTATGAATTTCTAAGACTGCAATAGCACACGCACTGCTTACCAATTTTTGAACACGAAAATGACCCCCTTTCCCTCCCTTTCTATGGTCCAAGCACACGGGGCATCAAATCCGAGCCAGCAGCTCTGTTTCAGAGCACGCGAGAGCCACCCAGAGAGGAGATTCAGACACAATTCCTGCCTCTATGCTGGGAGGTTCCGGGCCGGTGGTGGGTCTGGGGTGGACTCAGGAATGTGCATTTCCCCTAAGTTCCTCAGGGCTGCTGCTACTGCTGCTGGACCAGGGACCACACTGGGAGAAGGAATGGCCTCATGGAACTTGGTGATTCCCCAGAAGACGGATGACCTGGAGGGAGAGGAGGGGTCCTTTGAATACCAGTGCACTCTTGACCCACCAAGGACGTCACGGTGATACGTGGTTTTGAAAGGCCTGGGTGGAGGGCCCAAAGGACAAGATGAGATGCCCTTGGGGAACACAGAAGTCGGGGAGCCGTGGTGTGGGTGGGAGCCACTCGGCAGAGGGAGGAGTGCAGGCCCCGCTGCCAACCGCTGGCTCCACAGGCCAGGCCAATACCCTGTGGGGCCTCAGTCCTCCCAGGTCACATAGGCATCATTGTCTTGCCTTCTGGGGCAGTGGAAGACGAGACCTGCCGCAGGTGGAAAGTGTGGAGCGCCATGTTCCAAGGCTTCCCGTTCCTTCCTTCCCTTGATGGACAGGAAGGAAAGAGACCTGCTTCCTGGGAATCAGGCAAGAACTGGAAACAGGAAGTGAGACACCAGGCCAGACCACACGTGGGATTTGCTGGGTCTAAGTTTCCCGAGGAATTTTTGTCTGGGACTGACTGGTTTCTTGACGGAGGACTGTCATCAGGACTCAGAGGTCACTTGGGGAGGGACTATGGACTCCAAGAGCCAGGCTGCCCTCTCAGAAGCCACCAGACCTCATGCTCCTCCCAAAGCCCTCCCTGCCCACGACGACACACAGTAGGTGCTCATGAGAGTCACGTTGCAGAACCAGTGCTGCTCTTGACAGGAAGACATCAACCGTTTGACCCCGGGAGCCACCGAACAAAAAACCCTGAGATTTTTGATTTTAGTTGGTTCACTTTTTTTTCCTCTCGGAGCCAACAAACTAAAACCAAAACAAAACAGAAATAAAATCAGACAAGGCTGTGGTTCTGAAAGACACTGAACAAATACACTGGAGTTATTATCTCGAGAAAAATCAATGGCTTTCCCATCCACCAGTGCCCGAGCCTTCAGCGTTGGCTTGGAAACGCGGAAACGCTTCCAGCCCAGGGCTCTCCTGCGTCTGCGGCTGAGTTCACAAGTTCCAGCTTCCCCAGGTGGCCGAGCCCAGGGGAAATCAGGGAGCGCGGAGCCATCGCTGCAGGTGGGCATGTGCTGCCGTGTCCCCTGCCTTCTGGCCAACAGAGCAAGCCTGGAAAAAAAAAAAAAAAAAAAAACAGAGGCAGACCAAGCAACGGCGGGGGTGGGCATCTGGGCACCGTTATTCTGAGCTTCTGCCAACCTGTCCCTTACCCAGGGGATCTGGGGCTGCAGTGTCCCTCCCTTGCAACCCCAAGCTGATGATGTAGGAGAAGAAAGAGGCTCTTTTATGATCACCTAGAGGTGTCTAAAATAATCAAATTTAGGGGAGCAAAGAACAGAACTGTGGCTACCAGGGGCCAGGAGGAGGGGAGTACGGGGCGTGGCTCACCCATCGCATGAGGTTTCAGTGACAGCAGATGACCGAGTTCTGGAGACCTGCTGACCACCTCGTGCCCAGAGGTCACCGTTCTACACTGTGCACTTCAAAATCCGTCGACAGTATGGATCTCACGTGAAGTGTTCTCACCACAATAGAACATTCAAGAAGGGAACGAATGGGAGATGAAAAGGAGGTCAATATGGGGGGGGTGGGGGGAAGAGCTGGAAAGTTCTCAAAGACTCTTCTCCCGTTTCAGCCCTGCGTCTGTGAATACGTCCTGGGAAGTGCCCGTCTTCAAAAATAATTAAAAGAGTCATGAATACAGAAGTGTGTCACTCTGTCTGTCCGAAGGGCTGTCGGGGTCCTTCTTGGCTATCTTCTTTCCCTGGAAGTGGAAGCCTTCTCCAATGTGGTGTTAACTCAGTCCTGACAGCCTGAGGGTCAGTGGACGGAGCTCCCTCTCCCTGGCTGTCTGGCTGTGCCCACCCCTGGGGGAGGCGCTCGCCTGCACCATCTCTAATTGCACATCCGTCCTGTGAAGTAGCTGGGGGGTCGGGGAAGCATGGCGAGCTACCTGTTTCTGTAAGTGTGGTTTCCTTGGAGCACGGCCACCGCCATTCATTTACAGATGGCCTGTGGTTGTTTTCCTCTACGACAGCAGAATTCAGTAGTTATGAAAAACCCCTGTGGCCCCTAAAGTCTTAAAAATTTACTGTGTAGCCCTTTGCAGAAGAAAGAATGGCCCCGAGGTCAGCCATCAACCCACTGCACAGGCGAGGAAGTAGAAGCATAGGAAGCTAAGTGTGTGCTGCCCAAGGTCATCCAGGTTGGGAATTCCTGTGCCGGGCAGGAGTTGGCTCCAAAGTACCCCTGGGCTCCTCTCCTCCCTCTGCTGTAGTGCCTCCCACTTGGTCATACTGGCCTGGCTCTGCTAAATGTGTCATTCCAGCCCATCCCCTCCTTCTCTAGCCCCCAACCCCTGGGCTCCCGGTCTGCCCAGTGCTTATGAGAGATAGTCATCCACCAGGGACAGAGATGGCCTGAGCAGGCCTGGGCTCTTTAAAACCCAGAGAGATCAGCTCAGAGACACACTGAGAAGGACCAGGCTGCCCCGAGCAAAGGACAGCAACTGTTCTCAGCTGGGCAACATGCCCCGGACCATCTCTGAGCAGAGCCCTCATTTGCCTGTCTGCCATTCTGCCCTTACTGATGTATCTTGATCCGGGTTGGATTTGATTTTCCTGTTAATACTGCCCACGACCGGCTGCCTTCCTCCTGAGAATGCCCATCTGGTCCTGGGGTCTTCTAGTCCGGCCTTCTCTAAGCCATGCAGGTAGCAGGCCACATCTCAGCAGCGGTCTAAAGCTCCTCTGGGGTGTCCAGGGTGAGGCTCCACAGCTCAGGGAGAACACCAAGTTCAAGTAAAAACGGTAGCAAAGACTGCTGAATTAAGTTACCAAACTTTTCAAGGATACAGAATTATTAATATGAATATATAATATATTGGCACAGTAGAACATTAGGCTGTCATTGAAAATGATACTAACAAGGATTCTAAAATAATGTGCTGTATCAGACAGGGTCAGCTTTATAGGTGTGGGACTTGTGTACATGTACAGGACGCCACAGTTAAAAAGACCCTACACTTGGTTTAGTGCTCCGTGGGCACCACTTTGCTGTTTTGAATAACTTTTAATGAAGAACCCCCACATTTCATTTTGCACTGAGCTCACTAATGGCTCATAGAGGAGAGGTATCTCTCAGTGCTCATCCTCTCCTGCCTTTGAGGATAGGGCTTTCCACTCCACTCCCCACACCTATTTACCTGGACTGGTTTCTCCAAGTGGGAATTCCTTTCCAGTGTTTGTTGGGAAATGTTGACATTTTTCTAAATGCTAAAAGAAAAATTAGTCAAGAAACTAATGGAAAAAGTATTTGTCCTGCAAAAATCAAAGCTTAACCATGAACCTAGAGGCAACACGGGCTCAATCCACCAACGTCAAACCAAAGGTAAGAGCTGGAAATGCTGAAGGTGAAGGATGACGTCATGGGGACAGGACAGGAGCCCATGGGAGAGAGGGGATCACGGTTGGCTAGGACCATGGCTCTGGTCCTGTTGTAAGTGTGCATGTCGATGGTCCTGACCACTGGAAATGGAGAGTCACTCTTGGAAATAAATCAAGATTAAATTTATATGTAGGTATGCTTTACGCAAATCTTGTTAGCAATGTGCTCAGAAATAACAAACTTGGGAAGTAAAATAAGCCCTTGGTTGGCAATTTCCATCTGTAGCACTTGAACTTTGCTAAAAGATCTAAATGTTACATTATTTGAATATTACACAATAATATTCACCAGCGTTCTTTTTGACGCTTAATTATTTGCTACAGGCTACAGTTGTCTGTAAATTTGTTACACTGAATATTTCTCATTTATTAAACCAATGTTGCTAGCTATCCATTGTAATAAGCCAATGGTACGAAGTCCATTGACGTCTTCTAAGAATAGCTTAGGATTTCAGGACTTCTGAGTCTTGCCAGGGACTTCGACTTCTTGTCTGTAAACCCTGAAGGTTAACATTGGGTATTTGGAAGCACCAACTTCTGACATCTGGTTGTTCAGAAACTACATTTCCCAACCTCCTTTGCAGGTTAACTAGAGTCATGCCACACATTTGGACCCAAGGGATGTGAGCAGAAGTGAAATGGACACCTCGTGGATTGCATATCCATGGGGAAGTTACTTGTCCTCCATTTCCTCTCCCTTTCTCCCTGGCTTGGGAGAGATCAAAACTAGAGGAGACACTGGGACCAAGCTAGGGACGTCATGTTTTAAGGAAGCGAGAACTAGTCCTGCAGCCCGGGTGACCTTGTGGAGCAGAACTGTCCCCCTGCCACAGGCTCCTTTAGACTGTCATGTGGGTGAGAATTACATTCTACTTTATTTAATGAAGTCTCTATATTTGAGTTCTCTTTGTTAGAGCGGTTTAGTCTATTCGAGACCATGTGGGAACATGCTTACCCTGTATAATACTGTTTGATGGAGCGTCATCTACAATGACACGCAATTAACTCTCTATATAATCTAAATCACTAAAAGGATACCAAAAAAAAACACAAAAACTGCCCAAGAGAAAATCATGTCAAGAACCTGGGAACAAAAGGGAAGGAAGAAGCCAAATTGCACATGGTTCCAGAAAGAAATGAGATGGTGTTTCCCGTATGATCATTAAGCTCAGACACCTTGAGCTCTGCTTGGATTCTGGGCAAGGAGTGAGGAGAGACAGAGCAGGACACCTTCCTGGCTCTCGTGGAGTTTGCAGTGAAAGCAGAATGGAAGATGTCTGTAAAAGTTCCCAGCGTGGACGACATGAGGCCTTCATCCGCTTTTGAGTGGGTCTTCCTGCGGAGACTGGGATGGATGTCGGTGTCCTGGAGACTCTCGCCACCTTCAAGGACTGGCCGAGACCAGCAGGCCTGCTGGACGTTGGTGGCTTCCTCAGGAGGTGACCCACCCCTTCAGCTGGTTGTGCAAGAGTAAGAAGGAGCAGGAGAAGCCCTAGGCCTTCCCCTCTGCAGACCTGGGTTCCCCACCCTGGGGTGAAGGGAACTGGAAAGTATGCCAGACCCAGAGAGCTTTCCGCGTCCAGGGCGCCCCCCTTGTCTGAGAGCACCTGCGGGCGGCTGGGCTGCCATCTTGGGAGAACTGGCACCTTCTGTTTGGTTGGGTTTGGAAGCTGAACGAACACATGAGTGGGGATTTGGCACTTGTCTTCCACAGGAGCTCCGATTCTTGTGGACTTTTTTAAAGAGCGAGAAACTCCCGTGTTCTGTTTAGCAGAAGTGATTCTTCTGGAAGGGCGGGTCTGCGTCAGCCAGAGGCAGTGATGTGGCCTCAGTGATTCTCAATGTTCACCAAAGACCGCGGCCACCTCTCGGTCCACCTACCTCCCTGGCAGCCCAGCTCCTGTCCTCATACCTGTCGGACTCCGTCTGTCACCGGAGGCTTCGTTGCCAAATAGAGGGCGAGTGTTCCTCCAGGCACTTTAAACAGCTGCAGATAACGAAGGAGAAGTCAGGGCAATCAACCAAGCGCTGGGCAGGAGGGTTTGAACAGAGCAGGAACTGATTATGTGCCGAGGCACCGGTGCCCGGTATTGGCCACATCGTCCCGTCACGATAAAGGATGTCCCAAAGCGGTGCCTCTCACAGCTCAGGAGTGAGACAGGCGTGGCCTTGGTGAATTCTTTTCCTTCTCCTTCTCCTTCTCCAAAAAGAAGACTCCATCTTCAAACAGAGTCTCAGGTTGTCTCCCCGTTGTCTGTGCTCCCCTTCCTCCCTCCTGATCTGATTTTTATTCAGATCAAGGATGTATCAGGATAAATGATCGTGTTTCCTAATTTCCCTTGCAGTTAGAAACGGTCAGTGAAATATCGGTGGAAATCAATTGAGCCTTCTGGGAAGGCTGTCCCTTCTCCCTGTTCTCCTTCTTTCTACCTAGAAAGTGGATGTGAGACCTATGTGGTGTTCCAGCAGCTGTCTTGTTACCATGAGGCGATCTTGGGCCTGTTCATTGGTGAGCTGAAGATCAAAGAGCAGAAAGATAGAAAACAAGCTGAATCCCTGGTGACCATGAAGCTGTCGTATGGCCATGGATTCTAACCCTCCAGACTTCGTTCTATATGCTACACAATCCCCCTCTAGGCTTTGCAGCTGTTAATTTAGATATCTTTCTAGAAGTGAGTCCACGTTTGACAGATACAACACACACTCAATTTCCACCTCTCCCACAAGTCCTTCCAAGAACCTCTAAAATCATTGACAGACACATTTGTCAATCAAAAGACACTTATTTAACTTCTACTAAAGGCCCGGCTCTGTGGTCCAGTGGCCTGGAGAAGTGACAGTACCCTGACCCTGACTCTGCAGTTTCCAATTAGAAAGGGCTGCTCCCGCCCCTGGACCTCGAGCCTCTCTCACAGCTGCCTTCCAAGAGAGGATGCATGTCATCTGCCCAGAGTGGAGACGGTGCCTTGTCCTCCCAGGTCCCCACAGCCCCCTGGCACAAGGCCTCCTTAGGCACTCGGGTGCCTCTGGGCAGGGACACGGGCAGCTAGGCTCTCAGCCTGGCCCCGCCTGTTGGAACAGTCTGACCAACAGTCCCGGGGGGGTGGGAGTCAGCTCAGGGCTGGTGTGAGCTAACTCCCCCTCCCCCAATCCAACACAAAGGCCCACAGGGCTTGCTCCTGGTTGGGTCTCTGCTGTCCCTCCTGGCCTGGCCTCAGGCCTGGCCTTGTCTGCCCCACCAGGACCGCTCCCCCAGGCGGTGAACACGCACCACCCATCCCAGCCGGTTTCTGTGGATTCCAGGTAAAGAGACTCACCCGGGTCTCCCGGCAGTGGTCCCGTCCATCCATGGGCCTGGAATGGAACCATCTCTGAGGGTCCCGGGCCACCTCCCTGGGGGTCCTTTCAGCAAGGAGACTGTGGGCCAAGCACACCACGAGTCCCCCTGGGCTCTGCAATGGGCCAGCTCCTTGCTGGGCAGGCTTTCCACCAGATCCCGGCTCTGGCCAGCTGGGGGGGAGGGGCACGGTCCTGCCGTCCAGGCCCAGGATGTGCGGAGGACAGTGGGGATCTGCCCGGCAGCCCTGTCCCTTTCCTCCTCCTGGGCTTTGGGCAAATCGCTTAATCACGAGTCAGTTTTCTTGTCTGTAAAACGGGGACAACATGGTTTTCATGGAGTTATCCTGAGGACTAAGGAAGTCTGTGTGTAAGGGCCCTCGGCAGTGACCCTAGCACACAATGAGCCCTTCATCCACGGCTCCTGCAGCATCAGCGTCATTAACACCGGTGGCGATGACCGTCTCGTACACTGGTGTGCTGCGGGTGTGGCTGAAGGGTCCAGTTAGATTTGGGGAGGGGGTGGGGAGGACCATTTTTAAAAGTGGTCCTTTCCACTATGCTTCTGACTCCCTACTTGATTTCCCATTATCCATCCTTTAGGTCTTCAGGGAACCAGATTCCAACCCCATCGCTCAGGTGAACATCTGCTCGGAAGCATCTTGACCACCAACCCTGGTCCTGGGTCAGCGCTGGTGTTCTGGTCTTGACGAAGTTTACACTAGAAGCTCAGGTTACCTGCCCGATTTCTCTCCAGGACCCTCCCCTTCCATGGGAACGTCTGAGGTGTGGTGAGACAGGCAGAAACATAAAGACGCACCTGGGAATAAATGTGTGAACGTATTTAGACTTTATTTGGGGAAACTGGGCTTTCACCACCATCCAAGTTCAACAGAAATGCCTGTGCAGACCAAACACTGGTTGGTCGTTGACACCGAAAACCACTTGCAGCCCAAATTAGACACAACAAATCTGGGAAAGAATTTTTAAAATCCAAACCTTGCAACCTACCCCTCACCCCAGACTACTTGAGGTAGAAGAGAAACACGTGCCAAGAGGAGTCGGAGTGGACCCGTGGAGGGAGAGCAGGTGAAAAATGCATTTGCTAGATTTGGAATTGGGACAGAAAAGCTGGGAGTTCTTGTGAGTCAAGAGCCCGGGTGCTGCCTCTCTCTGTGCCCAGGTGGAAAGCTGAGGTTGGGCAAGCCCTGGGCCAGTGCTGCAGACAGCAAATGGAAAAGCCCAGGGGTTCTGCCTGGGAGTGCAGCCCAGAAGGTTGAGCATTCAGAGGCCTGCAAGACAGGCACTCAGGGGCGTGGAGTGTGCAGCCTAAGAGCAGAGACCTGGGGGTCTGGGCTGGAGCCCACTGCAGACCTAGTGGGAGAGAAGTCTGCCTGTAGGGGGCGCTGTCAACCAACCCCGGCCGGTGGTTCCCATGAGGAATGCACCCAATCTTCAGAGCCTTGAAGAAATGCTATCAAAACTCCTGATTTTTAAAACGTTGGCAAGCGATTCAACACAGTTGCGATGCTCTGTCGAGGCTGCACAAACAAGTCTGCTGGCTCCGGCTCGCGGGTAGCCCACTTCTGAATTCTGGGTGGGGCTGACTTTCATCTTACCTCTGAAGCTCGGGGTTGCAGGCGGCAGTTGAGGGCCCACACGTACCCACGTTAACTCTTCTGCCCAGACCTTCCTACTGCTAAATTAATCTAGCCTAAGAACTCTTTTACAGCACTGAGAAAAGTCAAGCTCAAAAATCAAAGTACAAACCCAGACAAAAACCTTCCAGGTAGCAACCTCAAAGATCGAGCTTTACTTTTATTTTTTTTAATGTATTTTGTAATGCCCCAGAACGGTTGGCCATGCTAAATTCACTAGTGGAATAATAGCCACCAGGCCCTCCACGGGTCCGGACACCACGGGGCGGACTTGGCAAGGAACAAAAGAGGGTGCACGGGACACACCCAGGGGGCCTCGGCCCAGCTCTTCTTGCACCGGCTCTTAATTTGACGCCTGCACCCCAAACCACCTTGGGCTTTGGAGCATCCAGACAATGGCTCTGCTGGACCCAAAGAGCGAGTTCTGGAGGGGAAAACACAGTGGGTGCAGGAAGGTGAGGTCAAGGGTTGAGGGAACCCCTGGCTCGGGGCATCCGGCCAAGGTGGCACCGGCTTTCACCTTGACCAAGCAGGGACTGCCTGTGCCCTTGAGGTGGCGACCAGTGCTGGGAAACACACTGCACAGAAACCCAGTTCCAGAGAGTGCAATAGAAGGGCTCTGAGGCTGGACCTCCTCCTCTGCCCGCACCGCACGGCACAGCGGTGCAGCGCAACTGGGGACAGGGAAGACAGCCCAGCCGAGGAAGGCAAAAATCCCACAACAGAACCACAAAACAAAGGGCCAGGGACGGTGATTAAGCCCCCCAGGGCTGCCTGCTAATCACCACGGTGGGAGAGGTTCCCGCGCCCCCACCCGCCACGGTTCCTCCTCCGAGCAGACACAAAAGTACCTCTCTTACCCACAAGCACGCTCCAACCTTTCGCTTTGTTCCCCAGAGCGCAGACACTGGGGCTGCTCAGAAAGATCTGGGAGCTGGCGGAGCATTGTGGGTACTGCCATGCAAATGAGGAGCACAGGCAAGCGTGTCCCACATTGCTTCAGAGGACCTGAATTTTTTATGGCTTGTATGCTCTTTTTGATGTTTTCATTGTCTCCTAGCATAACTGATATGCATTCCGACTCTGACAACTCCAAGTTGTGGGGTTTTGTGTT